CCTCCTTGATATCACTATCTCTAGATCTTTGTCTAGCCTTAGTTTCTTCTTTAACCAATTTTTTTTCATACAACAACAACAAAGCCATTTCTCCCAAACAAGCTGGGGTAGGCTAGAGGTGAAACCCATAAGATTTTGCGACCAACTCATGGTTCGGGCACATGGATAGCAAGCTTCCATGCACCCCTGTCAATAGCTAGTTCTTTGGTGATACTTCAATCCTTCATATCTCTCTTTACGGACTCCTCCCATGTCAAATTCGGTCTACCCCCGACCTCTCTTGACATTCTCCGCATGATTTAGCCGTCCACTATGCTTTAACCAAATTTTGTTCATCTCTAACCTATATGTTTCAGTCTATCCAACTCCTTAGGAGAGAGCGCAATAGTTTTAGCTTTGATGTCAAGACTATCACACCCCAACATCATATCCTTCTTGAGTTTTCTAAGTCCATCCTCTATGTTGCAACTCCAACCTTTAATGGCTTTTCTAATATTCCTAATTTTACTTCTCCAGGTGGTGATTAGAACTTCTACCACTCACAGGTTTGTTCCAGGCATTTGTAACTACAGTTCTAAAGTCTCTCTCAATAGCCACCATATTTCATATATAACTTGAACTTTTTGGTAGATGACCCACACTAAAATCCCAGAAGATGGGGGTGTTGTGACTGTCCAGTCTAGGCAAAGCTTGTACGGTAGCTAAAGGAAAGAGGGAATCAAGCTCAAATACTCCTTCCAACAGCAAGGAAAAAAGATCAAAGACAACACTCCAAATATAATGGGAGTTTTGGTTGCTAGGAAATGCACCCCTCCAGATCAATTAATGCAACAGCATGTTTAATATTGCGCGTGAAATAAATGTTCTATAATTCTCGGCTAGAAGTTTCATTTCGTTGGGACTTGAACGACTAGAAATTAGTGGCGTGAAAGGAGATACTCCACCACCTTTGCTAATGTTGAGCTAATACACAAGAGGGAGATGAATTTCGATGGAACTTGCACCTAGCAATTTTTGATTATGTTGATGTATTACGAGTGTAAAATTACGGGCCTATATGTATGTTTTTAGGAAAACAAAAAAAAATTGCTTGTATTGTCGCTTTTGCCTGGTCTAAACGGTTGTTTTGGTACTTGCACCCATAAAATAATTAATCAATCAAATTCTCCCCGTCTCGATCCAGCGAACATCGATATTGTGGGAGTAACTATCCTACCTATGAGATAGTGCTTAGTCCTACATGGAATCTACATGGCGAACTATCAAAGTCAAATCAAGTCATCCAAAGTAAAAAACTAGCCATGGTCAACAAATCAAAGAAGACGTACCTAAATAAAAGGTTAAAAAAAAGCTTCAAGGCCCATGAGAAAGAAGCCCATTAGGTGGATAGTCATGTGGACCCAAGAGTAAGAGGACCATGCAACACCACCTCCTCCCTCCGCCATGGAGGCATGGACTTGCAACAAGGGGGAGGGGTAGGGGGTGTTAGCGCGATGGATCTCTGTAAGAGTCGTCATCACCATGTTATCGACAACGACTGACTGTGATTTAGAATGACAAGGTGATATTAGGCTTATGTCCGAAAATCTGGTTGATTGCATGGCATAGCATGCATGTGTGGAGGGTCTAGTCTTCGGAGCGGTTCTCCTCCTTGATTCCTGTTTAGTCACTTGCCTTCGAACACTTGATCTAAACGCTTTTATATTTCTTTACCGGTGGGGTACTTCGTAAACATTCCAATATGCGTATTCTTTATTATTTCATAATTGTGCGAAACAAGGCGGTGCGACGAAGGCGAGCGTCGCCTCACACTGTTACTCCCTCCGTTCCAAAATAGATGACCCAACTTTGTACTAAACTTAGTACAAAGTTGGGTCATCTATTTTGGGACAAAGGCGAAAAATATCTTCTCGAGGAGCACAGAGCAAGTTGCTTGGCGGATGACAGGCGGGGCCGGGGCTATTCCATGGACTACTGTAGAGTGGGGGCTGGGATGGAGCGGGCGGGCAGCGACATGCCACCCCACCCCGCCCCGCCCCACGCAGCGGCTGGCTAGCTAGCGGATGGGCGGATGGATGGATGGATGGATGGGGCGTGTGGTGTCTGTCGATGGATGATGCCGCGCGCCCGACGAAAGCTATGGCGGCAACGGGCGGCCTTTTCGTTGGGCGAAAGGAACGGAACGGAAATCTTATCGGCACCGCCGGGACGGATGTGTCGCCTCGCCTCGCCTCGCCTATCCGTCTGCCTGTCTGTGTGGGGTGGCCGCCGTCCCATCCATCCATCGGTGATCGATCCATCGGCGGTGCTGTGCCCATCCTCCATCCTGGCTGACAAACACGTCCAAGCGGCTGGCTAGCTACTTGCCCGCTTGTGCGTGCGTGCATGTAGGCCAACCGCGTCATCTTATCTCCCTCCCATCATTGCCTCCCCCTCCCCCTCCTCCTCCTGATCTATCCAGCTGCTCGTCCGGTGGCGCATCCCATCTATCTCCTCCAGCTCCCCCCTTCTTTCTCCGGTGGTGCCGGCGCCGCCCGTCCGCGCCGGAGGGAGCTTCGCTTGGCGCTCGGCGTCGGCGGGAGGTGACCGATCGTGTTCGTGCATGATCAGGGAGAGGACAGTCGGCTGAGCCTTTGGAGGAGGGAGAAAGCGGTGATCCATGCATGGATGGCAAAGACCTCATCTCACCGTCCGACCTGCCGCCATTCTACGGCCAGCAGCAGCAGCCGCAGCAGCAGCACCTCCGCATGCTCGGCGGCACCGGCGGCGGCGGGGGGCAGCATAGCCCCTCCTCGCTCGCCGGGATGCACTCCGTCATCCGCCCCATGCCCAACATGAGCATGAGCCCCACCGCCATCCTCCAGTCCATCGGCGGCGGCGGCTCCTCCCTCGCCGCCATGCAGTTCAACATGGACAGCGCGCCGTCGCCTTCCTCCATGCTGCAGCACAACAGCATGGGCGGCTCCGTCTCCGGCTCGGGGACGATGCCGGTCGCCAGCCCACCGCCGGAGCCCGTCAAGCGGAAGAGGGGCAGGCCGCGCAAGTACGGGCCCGACGGCGCCATGAAGCACCACATGTCCTCGTCGTCGGCGCAACAGCAGCAGCATCAGCATCATCAGATGATGGGCGCGCCGCAGCAGAGGATGGGGTCGATGGCCGGGCAGGGCATGGCGGGCGGGCTCGACGACGCGGCCCAGAAGAAGAAGCGCGGCCGGCCGCCCGGCACCGGGAAGAAGCTCTCCTCCCCCACCAGTAAACCCTCCGGTCAGTATATATACACCCAATTCTGAATTATTATTTTATGAAGTCTGAATTTTATATATGCGCAGTCCTACTTAAGGTGATTAATTCGGATTTCTATCAAATTCCAATCTACTGCCTGCCAATTGTCAAAAGAACATCTGTACTGTGTAGTGTGTAGTACCTGCTGTAGCAAGGAAATGTTGATTTTTTTTGGTGATTTTAACAGAGTATCAGTAGCTAAATTTGCTTGTCAGTTGCTGCCATCTTAGAAATCATTTGTTTTAGTATGCTGCTGGTTTTTAACTTTTTATGCAAAGTTTTTCTGACAATCTGAAGTCTGATTTGAGCTGGATACATAGCAAAAAAAAAAAAAAAAAAAACTTGAACTGTCACAGCATAGTCTGCAGTTCACTGAAATCACAATGAAGAAAATTAATTCCTGATGGATATTCCTCTGAAAATTGCTATTTTGTCCAGGCAATGCGTTCCCCGGTTCAGCTGGAACGAGCTTCACTCCCCACATCATCACAGCATCTCCTTCAGAGGTAGGCACACAATGCAAACTGTAACATACCCACCAGAATTCCAACATATTCCTCTGTTATCCTGTTGCAGCTCACTGAACTGACAGACAGATCATATCAATTGTTTTGACAGGATGTCGCCGGGAAGATCGCGGCCTTCGCGAGCCAGTCACCTAGGGCGGTGTGCGTGCTCTCGGCGATGGGGTCTGTCTCCAGGGCCGTCCTCCGCCACCCGGCAGATCATCCTCCTTCCTACAACAATCCTGCCATTTACGAGGTAGGCGACCAACCTACATACAGTTAGGGAACAAATCAAAGAACTGATGCACCTCAGACTTGTATGTAACACTCCATCATGTGCATTTGTTTGCAGGGTTTGTATGAAATCTTGAGTTTATCCGGCTCTTACAATCTGAATGAGGGCCAGCAAAATCAAACCGACGGGATCAGCGTCACGCTCTGCAGCCAGGAGAGGCATGTCATTGGAGGTGTTCTTGGTGGAGCATTGGTAGCTGCCAGTACTGTGCAGGTAACAGCAATCTACCAGACTTCAACTGAAAAGATTCACCCATTGAACAAAGCTCCTGCATCTACTCTATTTTCTTCCTGATAAACAGATAGGGGTATCATACAGCATAAAAGCTAATAATTCTGTTTGGCATGTGCAGGTGGTATTAGGGACTTTTGTGCAAGGAGGGTCCAAATCAAGGTCCAAGAAAGCCGCGAAACCGCCAGCTTTTGGTCCCGACTCGCTCACAGGCGCTGGGCCAGACGTGGTGTCGCCCAGCTCAGGACATAACCAAAACCTAACGTCGCCGCCCTCCGTTGTATCGACGGGAGGGTGGCCTAGCTCTGGGATATTTGACACGCGAAGTTCCAACATTGATATCAACTCTTCTAGAGGATAGCTCATATTTGTCGACACTTCCATCTCTCGAGAGATTTTTCTGTTCCCAAAAAGAATACCAAATGTATACTTTGAAATAGCCCATTCGGTTTTTGAGATCATTCTTAGAGATTACTCTCCAGGCTGTGTTTTGTTGCATCAATATATTTTGTTTCTAATCTTGGGGAAATTGTTATTTTCCTTTCACCGTGTAGAAAACAGAGTAGCATACAACAGACTGGGGGTTACTCTTGATAGAGCAAGTGTACACACACATACAGTAGCAGAAAGAACAGATGACACATACACATGACACGCCGACGCATGATCTTCCCTGGAGATATACCTCAAACCTCCAACAGCTTCTTGATGTCATTCTGCGGAAACAACATTCGCTCACCAAGTGAATTACCGTTCTGTTGGAGACGAGGAATACGGAAAATAAACTGTTGAGTTAGAGCATCACCTCAATGCCGAGTGGGGACCAGGTCAGTGCATATCTGTTCATGACGTGCCCCTCTTTGTCAACTAGGAACTTGGTGAAGTTCCATTTGATACGCTCTCCAAATAGACCGCCTCTCTCTGACTTCAAGAACTTGTACAGCGGGGCAGCATTGTTGCCATTCACGTCGATCTGTTGCCAACTCGGAAATGTTTAGATAAAAAATAAATGCATTTGTGTTTGGAAGCTAGCACAAATATAGAAATGGAAACAAAGGTTTTCGCTGGATAAACCTTGCGAAAAATAGGAAACTCTGCTTGGAAGCGATTGCAAGCAAACTCCACAATCTTCTCATCGCTATCTGGTTCCTGTCCGGCAAATTGATTGCAGGGGAACGCCAATATCTCCAATCCTAATTGCAGCAGAAAACAAGCGAAGATAAATGAAGATCAGAAACAAAGTACAATGCAAGTGATTTGGCCTGCACAATGGCACGTCACGTCTTACTGTTTATTTATAATTCATACTGAAGACTAGCAGCCTAATATAAACTGTATGGATTCCTCTTTCTACCATTATTTTAGGGGTTAATTGGATAAATCCCACTCAAATTCTGGCGATTAGTAGAAACGCCACTGCAATTTCTAAACTTCCAAAAATGTCATTTCCAGTGGCATTTTACAAAGTCTGCAGTTTCGTTTTTTAAAGTTTGCAAAATTTGCGGTGGCATTTTTCAAAGTTTGGAAATTGCAGTGGCGTTTCTCAGAATCGCCAGAATTCGAGTGGCATTGCCTGAGTTTGACCCCGCAGGGGGACAAATTCAGGTATTTCTCATGTTTCAAAAAAAAAGCCTATACCTGAGAAGCCATGCTCTGAACAGCTAGGTACGGGTAAAATTCCCAGGGCTTGTTTAGTAAGCAGGTGAAGTGTATTCTGTATGCACACACTATGATAAAGAAAATCCCTCAGTGCCATATATGCTGTGCTTGTGCTGGTTGAATTGTCTCTGTTATGAGTTCTCAGGTGTTATGAGCAAAGACACGTACGAGGTCTTAATGAAACATTACTCACTTTGGGTTTCTAGTAAAGGCCAGGCCAATGGCTTGTTCTCTAAAAAAAAGGAACATTCCCCACACATATAAAAGTGATGCATCGAAGAGCTTGAAGCATTCCCCACAATGAGATACATAACCAAACCATTTTAATGGACATAAATCACATCATTTATAACATATATTGTGTTCAGTTTCAGCACAAATAGCGAATGCTCAGTCAAGAAACAATGGTTAAGAGCCATACAGAGTACCGAATCAGTTAGAGCTACTGCGATTAGTGGAATGACATGTGCAAAGCTATAGAAAACAAGTACCTTTCTCCCTGTATTTCTCATAGAGTTGGCCCAGCTCCGTGTAGTTGGAATTTGCCAGACCACTGCAAGGATATCAACTCAGGTGGTAAACACAGATTCAAACAGGAGGATTTCAAACTAAAACTGCAAAAGACGCTACCATCGAGATGCGACATTCACAATAAGCAGGACTTTCCCCTTGTATCTGCTGAGCTCCACATCGTTTCCTCTTACATCCTGCAGAGTAATCCCACCGACTGTTTCAGTTAGAAGGATGGCATGGAACTATATATCAATAAAATCATACTGACATACTGAATAATTCATCATCTTCTTGTTCGCCTACAAAGAACCAATTCCTTTGAATTACAGATATCTCAACACGCTTTTTATTCAAAGTTTCACAAGCAAATCATCCACACGAATATATGACAGATGAACGAAGATGAACGCCAGGGGGAGAAAGAGAGGGAGGGATGGGAGGACCACCTTAACGACGAAGTCATGGACGGAACCACCAGGCTTGGAAGATGACTCTGCTGCGCCCATCTTTGCTCTCAGCAATACTGTAATGTTTCCACTAGAGAAGGATTGGAGAAGAGTTAAGCGGCAGCACTCTGAAGAACTTGTGACAAGTGGCAAGCTCCTGTCCTGAGATTTATTTGTCATCTCAGGAAGTCTTAGAATGTCTTAGAATTCCTCGTTATTTTTTGCAGTCCATATGGTGTCCACAGATTCTAATGACAGCCACACAAATTGCAAAGCATTATATTCGAATGGGCTATTCCTGAATCAAAAATATTAATGGCAGAGAATGCTACAATGAGAAGTAGACAAAATATTTTGGGCCTACAATACACCAGCTACAATAATGACTTGCTTTTGGACATCCTTTGAATGGAGAGTTTTTAAAACTATTGTTAGAATGCAAATGAAAGGGGAAGAAAACAGTGTTACTCCACCAGTTCAGCCAAATGTAGAGTCATAGGGAAACAGTTACAAAAGTCAAAACAGTATCCGTCCAATAAAGGCATATTCGGGAAAAAATATCACGTCAAAATCACATGAACACAAAAACCAAGGATAATCAGCCAGCAGAAACCAGCCACAGAAATGCTTGTAGAAAGATGCAATTACCCAAGTGGTTAGAAACACAGATGACCACAAAAACCATTCAAGCAGGGTACTGAACATTACACGACAAGATATTTCATAAACACAGATGATCTTCCAAAACCTGGCAAGTCATGATAGGCTGTCAGCACATTATTCCCTGGATCCAGCACCTAATACGATAGACAGACTCGAAGTCCTGAACGACAAACAGTCACAAATAACAACACGGCGAGTCGAGCTACAGCGACAGACATGGAGTAATTCTAGGGATTACAACGATAAGGCCACCAGATGGTAGATTCTTCACAGCATACTGTCCGTCCTTGCTGGCAGTCGCCTGAAGAAGTTCACTGGCGTCGAAGGAAGCCTGTGTCGAAACCTTGGGTGCCTCATGGCATAGAACCCTCCTAATGCAGCGAGAACCTGGAGCGGTGTGACGTACAGCACTATCGCGGCTATGAAACAGAATAGCACAAATATTGCTGTAGCCCGAGGATCCCTCCAACTAAGCAGTGCCTGAACTCTCTCCCCTTGGGTTGCGATATCGCCAACAACAGTCTGTATCCTTCCAGCAACACTCCTCAGCCTATCATACCTCATCCTTACAACCTCTTGGCTCCGGCTTGTGGGGAATGTGTCAAACTCCTCATCGAGTTCATCTGGGTGAACAGCCTCAGCATGAGAGATCTTGGTGTTCATGTGAGGAGGGTAGCGAGGCCGGTAACGGTAGTTCCAGATCCCTATCAGGAACATGTACAAGAACACTGTTGGGAGTATGAGCTCTGGAAAGCACACCAGCATTATAAAGAGGATGTGAACTAGCACGGTGGTAATGGGGTTCTTCCATGCGCAGACACCACTGAACCACTTGCTGATGGCAAACAGGCCTGAGAAGACATTCATCAGCCTGAAGAAGTTTGCTTTGCTTCTCCTCATGCTCCACAAGTGAGAGTCAAAATCTGACATGTACTCAACAACTTCCATTCTCAGAGGTGGCTCCATTCGGCTGAGACGGGCAGCCACGATCTGGACAGCTTGGTGGCGGAGCATGTCAACCTGAAGCACTGGTATTGGGCGTGCATAGTGCATCTTCGGCAGCAAAGGTCGGGAGTACAGGTACAGCATGTTGACCAATGACGTTGAGGAAAACCGTATGGCTAGGTGCAGTTCACCCATCTTTTTCACCCCTGATGGGTGCAAAACCAGGAGAGGATATGAGTGGGTGTATACTCGGCCAGTTTCAAGTGTCGAAAGGCGAATTCGAACCTTGCCGATTTTCGCATCTTTACCACTGGATGGCTTCTCTCCATTCCTGTCTCCAAGCTGGCCATTGTCGAAAGCACCAATAGTCAGGACAGTTGCCGGATCATAGACCTCCCAAGTGTACTGTTCATTGAACTTGGGGTTTGGATTGTTCATGATAGTACGTGTTCGCACCCACTTTGACCCATACTTTGCAACACAATAGGTGTCTGATGAACCTTTTCCATCCCGTGTCTTCATAGGAACAATCCCCTGTGCACCAAGGACTCCAAGCTCAAGCAAACCAATTGACGGCTTCCAGAGTTGCTTGGCTGTTGGTCTGAGGTCACTGCTGTAGTTTGTAGACTCATCCAGAACATGATATCCTCCATCAAGGCAGAGACGGAGATGGAGCCGGCTAGAGAACTTCTCTCTCTTTAGTTGGTCCACATCAACAAGTACAGGCTTCTCAAGATTAAACCACTTCCCATGGACAATGCGGTCATCAGCCCGCCTATCAATCATCGTCAATGGTATAATTATGCGGCCAAGCGTCTCATCCTTGTTAGGAGCTACACGATCTTCAAGTGACAGAATAAGGTGATCCTCGAAAGGTTCAGCAGCCACAAACATAAGGTCTTCATTCCAAAACGGGTTGAAGTTTCTAGCCTGAACAGGTTTTGTCCTCCCATGCTGATGCCCCACCTGTGCTCTGACAAAAACATCTGGATAGCGGGTCTTATCATGTATCAGAATATCTTGGGCCTCAATTATATTAACTCGCAGGTACCAGAGTCTGGGTGCATGGTAAACTTTCGACTTCATGTGTGTTACAGCAGATGGATCCTCAAGTGTAGCAGCATCTGAATGCCATGCATCAGGAAATGCCTCATCAGCTTGAGTGCCAATCCAAACTGCCAGCATCAGCTCACCCCTTGACTTGTCCCCATCCTTGTGAACAAGCCGGTACCATTCTGGAGCCAGTGGACTGTCAGGGGGCACACGTACTGGCACATCATTCAGATCGAATCGCACCATGCCAACAAAATCATCCCTGACAAGATCTTTGTCTTTGACCAACACTTCAATGACAGAGGCCTGCATACGTTCTCTAGAGAAAGCAAAGACAGCATTCCACTCAGGGTTCCTCTGCTTCTCAAAGTGCTTAGTTATGCCCCTGTAGTTGCCAACTCTCACTTCCACAAAAGGATCCAGGCTCCCAGTGATGTCCATGTTAGGCAAGTCCCGTGCCTTGACCACACGCACAAACAGATACTGCATTCTCTCCACTAAGTCATAAGTACTAGCATGCTTCTCACCACCAATAACCCGACCACCAACAATCTGTCCACCACCGAGAAATGGGCTGGTTTCTTTAAGTGCATAGTCCATGGGCTGCTGGGAGGCAGCTGAATACATCCTGACCATCTTGGGCTGTTGAGGTTGAGGTTTCATTTGCTCAACACCATATTTGGAGTTGGAGGGTTGCTCGGCAAAAGAGGCTGGAAGATGGCCATGGTGCTGATGATGCTGTACGTCCTTAGCTATGGTATGCAAGGTTCTCACTTCATCATGCCTGTGCTCCTGATGACGCTGAGAAGCATTCAGATTAGTACCGGTTATATCAGCAGCAATCTGCTCAGCTTGAGTTGGAGGAGCATTGTTCGAAACAGGGTCCATTGCAGGAAGAGGGTTGGAAGCCCTGATGTTGGGGTCATTTGTGATGTATACTTTGAGGCCCAATTCCCCCTTGACACGGGAGAACATCCCACGCTTCTCCAGTGGGTAGTGCATGATGACAGCATCGGTGAAGGGCACGAATGAGGTCCCAGCGATTCTGACCTTGCCAAGGAATGACCTGGAGCCTTCGACAGACTTGTGGATGTTGTAGACATATGCTTCAAGAGCGAGCTCGGGAAGATTTGTTGGATCGGAGACGTTGAAGTAGAAGCGCTCGTTCCAGACGGGGTTCAGGTCCTTCTCCTTGATGGCCGTGCGGAACCGCTGACCATCAAAGGTGAGCTCGACACAGGCGCTGGCAGAACCTTGCCCGTCCTTGGGCATGAGGTCGTGAGCGCTTGCGACCTCCACGCCCAGTTTATACGACGCCATTGCTTCTGGTGATGTTGTGATCTACTGCTCTGTAGTGCACACATGAAAGAAAAGCACAGTTAGCGCCACTAGCAAATGCTACAAACTGGCCACCACAGCCAAATAAGCATACATAAAAAGAAAAATACGGTCAGCTAGCACCCTGGCAAATGCAGCAATTTATCTGGCACAACTAAATAAGCACACATATAAAGAAAAGCAGTTAGGTAGCACCATGGCAGATGCTACAAACTTGAGTGTTACATCCAAATAAGAATAAAACCCAGGCTTAACAAGAAAAATGTATATGCTGCAGATCACCAAAGCGTCGCAATCACACTGGCATAACCACCCAATCTACAGAAGAACCGGTATGTTCCAGCTGACTAAAGGGCGCGGTATTATTTCAATTTGCATGAAAATCTGAAGACGAACAGTCCACATCAAACCTAGACATCCAGTGCACAAGACTAAACTAAACTCCCCTAGGACCATGACCTTTGAGCAACCAGCGTCCAAGGCTGGCCTAAGACAGACTGCGACGCATCGGAGCTCACATCAGAGCTGAAGGCGACATACGCACACAGATCTAACCTGTGGATAAGCAGTATAAATAAATAGATAGATAAATAAAACAAAACAAGTGTCCGAATCAGGCAGCCACGACAAGCGCATCAACCTTTTCGGCGAAAAGCCAGACTAGTTTATTGAATCAATCACGGAATCAAAGTCGATTCGTGGATTTAGCACGGTGGTGCCGCAACTAATGGATCCGCAGGCATATGCGAAAGGGGCAGCCGGCGCTTTTACTTTCCACCGCCGCGCAGCGAACGCGGCGGAGCGTTAATAAACCCCCGAGAAACCCCGGGATTCGGCGCACCGGCGGCGAGCGGAGACGGCGAATAGAGGCGGGGCGGAGAGCGGGGAGGGCCGGGGCTCACCTCTGGAGCTGGAGACGCCCAGATCCGGGCGGATCTGGCCCAATGCAGCCGGAGAGCGCCGGCCGACGGAGCCGCGAGCGCACGCACGCGCGCCTGGCGCCTCAGTCCGCCGCCATGCTGTCCGCCGCCGGGCAGGGTGGCCGGGGGGGCGTACGCGAGGGCGGGCGGGCGGCCGACGGAGGAGGGGATTCCGGGGGGGGCCGGAGGTCTGGGTTTTGCGTGGCGTGCGGGGGAAAGATGGGAGCTTTGCGTTGGGTGTGAGGGAGTGAGGAGGAGGGT